AACAGTAACGAAGAAATTTGCCGACTGGGGCCGACTTGTGAAAATTATTGGGGGGGTGGAGCACCCCCCCACACCCCCCCGCTCGCGACGGCCCTGCATATTAATATAACAAAGTTACCTTTTCGGTAGGCACTTTAACAAATCCATCTACCTATGTTTGTTTTGTCAATTCATTAATACCTATGCGTATAACTTATTTTATTTCTCCCTAACGCTAGACGATTTCACGCATGGTGAATAGTTAAATTTACCATGGTGAATGGTTAAATTTGCTCGATTAATTGTTGTTGAAACTGATGACTTTCTGTGCAACTAATAGGCTTAACGTCTAGGTAAAGTCAGATTAAAGTCTCACTTTTATTATTTATAGCAGTGGATTCTTCATTTTTACCTTATCATAGTGATCAAATATTTCATCGAAGTCACCTTGGTCCAACCTGTGTTTATTCTATGACAAAATAATTATATAGTACACTAAAGTATACTAAAAAACAATTAAACCTCAAATAGGTCTGATTTATACGTTGCATTGACTTCTATAGCGCAAATTTACACGTGGATACGATCATATCCTCTTTTATACATCAAGTATTACGCTTACCTAATTACATAGTTTCCCTAGGCTATTTTACCTTTACAATTGTGGTATTACTTTCTTAACTGTGTTTATCCTAACCCACCCTGTCAACTTTCCTTAAATATCTGCATTGAATAAGGTAGTTCAAATACACATAAGCATGCATGTTACTCAGTAAGTTTATTATCATACCTCATATTTCTTGAAGAAGTTTTCACCAGCTGGTAGCAGTCTAAGTTTGTAAATAAAATTTGCAACAAAATAATGTAATTCAGTGTAAAGATGGTTGTTCGATAAGTGTATTGAGACACACTATATTTACACTCCAGAAATAACCTGGGCAGGGGTAGAAAATTTTTTTTCTTTCTGGGAACCTGGGTCAAAGGCTAGAAATTTTCTGTAAAATTTGCAATGTTACAATTACAAAAATAACAAAACAAATGCATAATTATTGTATTATTTGTACTTTAGTAATAATAGGCTTTAGGCAGGTTTTTGTATGCTCGTACATCGCAATAGTTGTCTTTTACCACAGTTCACTTTTATTTGTTTACTATTTAATTTGCATTTTATTGGAGACTTTGCAGAGCATATATTTACCATTTTATCTCGTTATGATGAAAGGGGTGGGTAAAAGAATTAATTTCCGTCAAATATTTAAAAGGGTGCTGATGTTAGTGTGTATACAGTGTAAATAAAGTAGAACAGTTGTAACTTGTAAGTTGAGTAAACAGAGTTGTCTCAAAATGTTGAAATATTTTCTGGAAAATTTTCTGCAAAATTCTCAACTCAAAAAAAAGTTCTTGGAACTAGGTTCCCAGGTTCCGATACTTTTTCCACCCCTGAACCTGAGCTATTTGGGTTAACTTAATATTCCTGGTTAAATTTCCTGGTTATTTTATCTTTTTTCCTACCATAGTTTGGGTAATGTAACCTGGAATATGGTTATATTTGACTAGGATGTCCTGGTTAAATTAACCATGAAACTAACCCATTGAATGCCAGCTAGACTTTCCCCTTGGCGAGTAAAATCGTCTGGCGTCAGACACAGTAAAATAAAGAAGAAATATGGGGGCATTTCCATATAACCGTGGAAGAAAACTTACTCTGCTAGTTCTGTGAGTGAAATTTTCCCATCTCTGTCAGTATCAATTGTATTTAACTGAAAAGAAAATAATCTCAATCAGGTTCGTGTTTCAATGAAATCACTCAATCGGGAATTTTCAAACATTCAGTTTTATTAACAAATTGTCAACTAAGATTGCATTATATTTCTTACGATGTCATCTTTGTAACATTCTATCTTCGTTGGGGAAACGTCACACTCTGCTTTCTTCAAAAAGTCGTAAATGAAGCCCTAAAAGAATCGAGGAAGATAAACCTGAGGACTAATTCGAGGGCTGTATTACTGCAAGAATCCTTGTACGTACATGCACCTCCCGAAAAAAAGAATAAATCCTGAAATCATGCCAAAATCCCTAGAATCCCAAACCCCAAAATGTCGTATAAAATCACTAACAATCCTACGAAATATAGCTAAAAATCTGCAAAATCCTTTTTAAAATCCTAAAATCATCAAAAATCCTCGTACGAGCAATAAATACACCCCTCGGACTACCTCATACCCTCGTAAAATTCCCTAATTTCGTAAGGCAGCGTATGCCCGTTGGAAATTGAAATTCGAGACTCCCTCACAATAACTTTCACTAATCAACCGTAATCAACATACTTCGATTTCACTGCCTTCTAGGTAACCACTTTTGTCCAAGTCATAATGGAACCAAATCTAGAAATGTAAAGTGAAATTGAGCCACCAATATCTCTTATAAAATTAATTGTAATTTTATAGATTACTTTCATCATTCTTACCTCCATAAATTCCACCGATGTGAGTTTGACATTTTTACGGAAACTCATAAGAAAGTTCTTCTCAGTCGGCAGAACTTTACTCATCTGTTAACACAAGAAAAGAGGTTTTATTTTTAATACTATCACTTAAAGTTAAAACGTCAACCAGAGAAAGAAACAAGCATGCATATTGTCGAGCAGCTCTACCATGCATTAGACTTTGCCATTAATTGACTTGGCGAGAATGCCCACGCAGCAAGCATGGGTTTCCAGAAACTCAGACTATCACAGATAATGAACTGTATTCTGGGAAACCAGACGTATAATATGCGAGGAACATGCTTAGAAAACTCTTAAAAAGATTTTAGCGTACCTCCTCCATGCTGAGCTTGCCATCCGCATTCACGTCATATTTCGAGAGCACTAACGATTTCAGCTCTTTAATGTCACATTTCAGCTGGTTCTATATGTCCAGTAAATGGAATAACATGCGTTAGTATTTTTACACAAGTGAATAGAAGAAATCCAACGTGCTGATTGGTAAAATTTGAAGTGATATTCCCTTATATTCACCCACAGGTGAATATATAGAGAATAATACATGCATGGGTGCGCGGAAATACCAGATTTATTTCTCGTGTTGAAAAGCGATCATTTTTACAGAAAAGCGATAAATTGAAAAGCGATTATTTTCACATGTGAGATTATCATGAATAATCTTACATGTGAGATTATCACTTTTATCAGTGCTCGAAGTACTATTTAAAAAACGAGCAGGAGTGTTTTATTAGGTTTAAAGCCACGAGCGCGCAGCGCGAGTGGCTTTAGACCTAATAAAACACGACCTGCGAGTTTTTTAAATGGCTTCAAAAACGTTTGCATAATAAGTCAAATCTTTATATAAAAATCTTTATATAAAAATCTTTATATAAAAATCTTTATATAAAAATCTTTATATAGTTTGCATAACAATAGTCTTTTGTTAAAGTGTTCTTTAGCTGGTATAAAGACGTATGCACGTGACTAATTTCTTACTCAAGATTGGATAATTGCTTCATGAATTATTAATGAGTTTTTGAAATCTCTATAAAGCACTATACTTTATATAATAAATAACAGTAAAAACTAGTTTACAAAATGGCGACTAGCCGTTTGGTGGAAATCACGGATAAAGAAATAAGCGACATTAAAATAAATTCAGTCCCAAAAAACACAAAAGACTTGTGTGTAAAAATCGGGACTATGCATCCGAGAATGAGAATTTAAATCCGGGCAACAAAATGTTCTAACCAATCAGAAAGCGTTATTTGCCTCCATTAGGAAGCTTTAATTTCTCCCTCTATTTTTCCCGTAATGCCTACGCCATTTTTTATAATCTCCATGTCGACACGAGCATCTATGGACACGAGTCAGGGTTAAACGGCGGTCACAACACCTGCACGAGCCCACGGCGCCAACAAATTGATCTTGAATTTTGCTTGTAAACCATCTGCTGAGCACTTTGCAACGCATGAATAATTAAAATAATTAAAAAACGCAAGCGTCCTTTGGCATACTAATCCACTTGTCAACGTATTCGCAAAACACAATCTTAGCATCATCGATGACGAAGCCTAGTCTCTATGGGCATGCAGCTTTGACATGCAAAGTTCTATAATGTTCAATATATTTTCCATCATGTAAGATACATATAGATATATATAGCTAATAAATAATTTAAAACCGCATATAAGTTTATATTTGAATTTTTGAACCGCGCTATTTGTCCAATAATTTATCGCCTGTGTAAACTGCTTCGGAACGACATCGAATTCTAATTTCATATTTCCATGTTAAAGTCTCATTTAAGGGGTTTTTTTTTCTTTCTGTGTATAAATAATTCAAAACTTAAGCTTATCTTCTAGGCTTTTCGAAGTCTATATCTATTCAATAATCGTAAACATTCAAACTGAAGATTACGAACTTATGCCGCCAAAATTATGGTCTAACCATATTTGAGGTTTTCTACGCTGGAGTATACTTATTATGCATGTTATCTTTATTATTTTTATCGTGTATTTTTGCAGTGTATTTGAACTTATAATTTCATAATGACACGAGGTTTAACGCTCAAGAGTCTTCCCATACTCGAAAGTATAGTAATGACAGTATACAGCTAATTCAAAAAAAGTTGTTCTAGTGCAGACATTAAACTCTAAACCTCTAAGCGCGCAAGCTTAATAGGAGCACAAGTTCCAAAGTTAGCAGTTGAATATCGCAACTATTTGTGAATGAATAGACCTTTCCCCTTATAACCAAAATTTTGATCTAGGCAAGTCTAGACAAATGTTTCATCACAGCTTGAAAGAGCATCACAAAATTAGTAATATTCCAAAGTTTCGTTGCGAAATGTTGTAAAATGAGGAAAATAGAGCCTTGCAAAGTTTGCAATTTTCAGTCATTTTAGATTACAAACGGGAAATTGCAGCCCCAACACCCGAATCGTATGTCAATTTCCGTTTGTAATACAAAATGACTGAAAAATGGCAAACTTCGCAAGGCTATATTATCCGCATTTTACAACATTTCGCAACGAAACTTTGGAATATTACTAATTTTGTGATGCTCTTTCAAGCTGTGATGAAATTTTTGTCTAGATCGAAATTTTAGTTATAAGGGGAAAGGTCCATTGTTCTCGTAACGCAAGGAGATATTTACCATGTCTCTAAGAAATGGGTCCCATATGTGATTTCTAAACTGATTTAATGTGCTGCCATTATGCTTTGCACGCTTAGAGTTGAAGGTTTAAGGTTTAGAATTTAAGGTCTACAAAGAACAACTTTTTTTTAATTTGCTGTATATTTCGAGTCGGCTCTTCTTCCTATCTTTGTCGTAGACTCGTGCGTGCAAATTGCAGTGTATATACACAGAAAGTATATTGGTTGCACATTAGGGCCATTTATACGGAACAAAATAAGACGCGACTTACATAAGACGCGACTTAAGTAAGACGCGAGTTTGTGGTATAAAAGGTACAAAATTCTTATGTAAGACGCGTCTTGGATAAGACGCGTCTTACGTAAGAACAGGACTTTTAGCTGTTCTTATTTAAGTCGCGTCTTAAATAAGAAATTTTAGACAAAAAATTTAACTACACTTGCCAGAAACTTGAAACAACGTAAAATTTAATGCCTTGCATATTAAAACAAAAACAAACAAAACAACATTATAGCTATAGCAAATAAATAAGACCAAAGCCGTAGAGAACCATTTATGCGATAACTCCACTTATTTAAGTCGCGTCTTATGTAAGTCGCGACTAATTTTGATTGTTTTAATATCCAGTCTGAACTTTTGGCATCTCGCCGGCTCGTCAGAACAAAATGTTTCCTGGGATAGGACATTCATAGTGCATTCTTTGCAACTTGAACCGTTATAGGTCGTAAAAAAAAATATGCATGTATATATATATATATATGTACTAATATTACTTTTTCGCTAGGAATTTCCAACGAAAATACCCTAAACTTTATCAAGTCGGCAACAGCCTATCTGTTAAACGAATTTAAAGTGCATTGTTCTAGAAAAACCTTTCTCTTCCAACAAATTGCGCGCTTTTGTCTTGCTAATATAAAACACCTTCACAACAGCTGCACGCCCGAGTGTTTTCAGCTTGTTATTAGAAAACGCGAAAATTTTGCATTTTGAGTAATGACTTGTTCGGATATTTACATGTATTTCCCGACAATGTCCAGAGTTTACTGTTAGACTTAAAATTGCCTAATCGGGCAAATTTGTGTATTTTTAATATAGAGGGAAAATCTATCATCATCAATTTCTCGTAGTTTTAAATACTTATATGTTTCCCAGCCGCGAAAGGTTGGAAAAAATGCAGACATGCTGTTCTTGACAATGGATAATAACCTTCTATAAGATTCATAAGGTCAAGCGCATTTTAGGATTTTGAAGATTTTTTAATTATTATTTTATGTTAAGTTTCATTTTTCTATATCTGAAAATCTCCAATCGCGCGTGTTGAATTTCACTCCCATGCACGCGTTATTGTAAATCAAACAGATTTTGGGCGGATTTTTAAGGATTATAGTTTTCGGTTTCCTGAACAAGCGAATGAAAGCAATTATATATAGATTGGCATTGAACGCATTAGCTTGGGATCTATCGCTACAAAATAAAAATTTATACAATCAACTATAAATGCATAGTGCATTTCTGAATTTTGTTTTGCTTATTTTCATGTATTTTAGTTTATCATTTGATTAGGAATATATGCAAAAAAAGATGTTTTTTAAAAATTTTCACCGTTTATCAAAGTCGATTGCAGCTATATCGCATATATACTGTATATATATCATGTATTGTTTCGCTTTCCTCGAACGTTTGACACTGCTGCCTAAGAGGAATCATTGGGTTCCTCGTGTATGAAATAGACTATCTGTTCTATTTGTATGATATCGAGCACTCTTTAGCATTTGGTGAACCAAATTAACACACTCGTAAATATATCATGTTGATGCATATATCATGTTGATGCATTACATGCATGCATGCTTGCATGTATTGCTACTGACATTTTTCGGCACTGTACGATAGCCTATACTACTATAGTATAGTATACTATAGTATAGTATACTATAGAATAGTATACTACACTACTATAGTATAGTATAGTACAATATACTACTATATACAGGGTGTCGTGAGGAAAGTATACCTTTTGACATCAAACCTTTGTTGGAACTTGAATGCCTTATTACCATACTGAACCCATGTGTGCACAAACACAATTGAATCGAATTTTATGCAGTGTACTTTGAGTTTGCGTATAATTTAAACGATCAAGACTCTTTACTCCTTGGTCATTTGAACAATTCTTGCTCGAGCTGACGGTACGACTGATTAGTAATTTAACCATTTTTGTGCATAGTCACTCTCCTTTTATAATATTAGAAAGCTATTTTAAATTCCCACTGGAATAGAAAATCTTGTACTTAACAAGAATAGAGTTGTTTATTAACTGGGTCTCGTTTTTCAATACAACCTGTATTTTAAGCTTCCGTGCGTTCGGCATGATACTCATGCAGGCATTCAAATTAATTACAATAGGAAAATTTCAAAAGGTATACTTTTTTTTCGGGACACCCTGTAGTACTATACTATAGTGCTATACTATAGTGCTATACTATTGTGCTATACTACTATTGTATACAAAGTTTAAACATGACAAGTCACTTTTAACAAAGATATCTTGCCGTGATAGTGTATGTGTAGCGTTCTACTGCAGTCAAGGCCATGTTAAACGAGGTGATTTTTGCCTCTAACGCAATTTCGGATACGACGCAATGTTATCTTAAAATCGCAAGGAAATTGTGTGCATGCATCACCCCCGCATTCGAATTGCTTTACATATAGTTGTCATAACATATACGCGTAAGGGATGCAAATGAAATGAAAGGAATGGAATTAAAATGTCGCCAAAGTAAACTGTCACAAACAACGCGACAGATTATTTTGTATTATTTATAACATCTTGCATGTAGTATATAATACAACCCCAGACATAAACAAGTTTCCCTTCTTCAAAAGCCTAAACATGGCTCTATATAAGACTTCATACTACAGGACAAATTATTTCGTTGCGCCATATAGCTGTTTTCGTTTGCCTTGGATATGCATGATGCATTGACCTAGCTGTTGTCTATTGACTCCAAAATGTCCTATATATATTTCTATATAGCAAAATAGGTTTATATATATTTATTTTGTGCATATATTTATATAGCCAAATGACTGTATATGTTGTTTATTTATCCCAGCTTCATAATTAAGGTGAAAATGCTTGTTAGGAGCTTGTATCTGCAGAGGAAAAGTGGCTTGGTACGCCGCATCCATTATTGAATATTGCACTTTATATTTATATAGCAAAAAGTCAAAATTGGTTTATTATATTGTAGGTACAGATACGGACTTCTAACTAAATATATTCATATATCCCTTACTTCATCGCCGAGCTCTTCGCAAAGGTCGCTAAGGAAGGAATCCAACTCGCTTGTTTCTATCAAGCCATTTCCTATCATAGAAAAACATTTATAGATATATCGGGAACGGGAAAACTTTAGATAGCGCGAAATGACCGACGCGTAGGCGTTTTTAGTAAGATCTATGCAGATACATACCATCTTTGTCATACTTTTTAAACAGCGAAACGAACTCTGCCGAGCTCAAAATTTTGTTGCCTTTAAATTGCTTGACGATCGACATTTCGCTTTTCTTTGTGTCGGAGCTGTTGTTGTTGCTGTGTGATGCTAAGATATATAATGCTCCTCAATTTGAATAAGTTTCAATGTGTCAATCGCGCGTCCCTAGATTACGCATGCGTACAAGTACATTTTAATATCTTCATTTCATATGCGATGTAAACAGACGGCTGTTATTACGCATTTGGATATGGAAGCTTTAAATTTTGGACTAGCCTTGGCCTAATTTTGCTTACACTGTTTTGTTGATTGAATTTGTTAGCCAATCAGCGAAGCGAAAACTTTTGCTGTTCACGCCTTGGCCAAACGTGATTCCCACCCATGGGAAAAATGATTTACACTATAACACAACTTTTGCCTAAAATTGTCGCATGCAAACTGCTTACAACTTGAGTTGTACTGTGTAAATCAAACACACAACTCCCTACATCAGTGTCGTTTGTGAGTTGTGTGCTTGATTTACACTGACAGTATACCGCTCATTCAAGTATAAGCAGGTTGCATGCGACAGTTTTAGGAAAAAGTTGTGTAGTGCATGTAAATCGGCCTTTTATAATATAGTGAAACTCAGAAAATGGAATTCACTATTCCACTTATAATGATTACCGGTTCGTTTCAATTTGTCCTCTATAGCTATCATTCATGACTGCATGGCTAATCTACAGTGGGTCTATAGGTATATATAGCCGAATCTATATAGTTAATTCGGTTGAAAAGTCCGTAATGGAAAATGGGTCTTCGCGATCGAAACGTCGAAGTTTTCACCGGCTTATATTGCTCAGGTATATAGTAGTATATCCTTCACACCGCAGCTGTCTGCATCGTCTCTATACATATACTATGCACTTGCACCGATCGCTCGAGATTTTATAATTATATAGTGCGTGGCAAATGCACAAAACTTATACATATATTGTGAGTGAGGTGTATCTTATTGATGGAATTATAGTTCCATTTTTTGCGACTTAAGGCGGTTTTCCATTCAATGCAAAATGTTGCGCGATCGATTTTTTGCGATCGCTTTCTTTTGAAATACAAACAGTCAAGCGGAACAAATCTCATTAGCTGCAGTTGACTGCACACGTTTCAAAAGAAAGCGATCGCAAAAAATCGATCGTGCGACATTTTGCACTGAATGGAAATTCGCCTTTAGTGTATGTATACGCGGGCTTATAACTAAATATATGCGCATAATTTTTCGATCAAAATTTCCATCTGCGATAGACCTTTGACAATGTGTTCAGCTGCATCGGGCAATCATGCCCAAAATTTAAAGTAATTAACTTACAATCGTGTTGAAACACAACGTTCTTAGCTTGTCTTTGACCAGGCAGGCTAAACTTAAACATAAGAGGCTTAATGGTCGTCTTTGTCAGCTAAAATTCAAGCCAAATGCCAGCTGCCAGTAAAGTCTAGATATTTTGTAAGGCGAAAGCTTGGGATTGATTGGGATGCAACTACAGTAAATTTAAACCCCGCATATAAGAACCTAGAGTTTAAGAACCTGTTGGGCTAAAATTGCTTATTTAGACCCCCTTTGTATAAGAACCTGTTTATGCTAAAATTTCAAACAGGTTCTTATTTTATTCTAACAGTCGAAACTAAAATTTATAAATAAAAGAAAACAAACTCTTCTTTTCATATGTGCATAATTTATATAAATTTTTTCTACACCAACTGAAAACGAGTCGCTTTTTCCAGTAGAAAATAAGAACCTATTTAAGAACCTGTTTAGCCTTAGACTTGCTCCAAGTCTCTCTTTCATTGTCATATAGTATCGACCCACTATAGTGTACATTACATGACGTAGCACGGAGGGGCGGAGCGAGAAAGAGAGACTTGTCAACTTCCGAAAATCTCGGTTCAAAACTGAACCGAAAATGCAAGACTTGCTTTAATTGTTTTCTGTCAGTTCAGTTTTGAACCGAGATTTTCCGAAGTTGACAAGTCTCTCTTTCTCGCTCCGCCTCTCCGTGCTACGTCATGTGATGTACACTATAGTGGATCGATATAACAATGAAAGAGAGACTTGGAGCAAGTCTAGTTTAGCCTAATTTCGCGATAAGCACCATTTATATAAGAACCTGTTTAGGCTAATTTGAAAAATCTAGGTTCTTATATGTGCGGGGTTTTACTGTACCTGAAGAACACAAGGATAGTTCTCCTAGTTGAATTATTTTTCAGATAGTTGCTTCCCTAACAATCCCAAGCTTTCTTATCATTGGACCTACACTGCCGGGCACAGTCCGTTCAAAATTTTGTAAGATGTCAGTTTCACATTGCCGTTTTCCTCATTTGTCAGCTATCGGTCCAGTTACCTTGACTGTTGTCAGTCAAAACTATGGGCAAATATCACGGTTGTCAAGTGAACTCCCACTCAGACCCTTAATATTTAACAAATATATAAAACATTTTCCGTGTTGATATACAGTCATATCAACACGATTGGGAAAACGAGAAATTGTATGGAAACACGACGTCCGAAACATGCCCGAAAGACGGAGTGTTTTCATACAATTTCGAGTTTTCCCAACTTCCACGAGTGTTGATATAACTATATATCAATACGGAAAAAATGTTTTATATTTTTTTTATAATATAGCAATGCCACAAGCCTGAAGGATAAGAAAAATTTCCGTGTTTACAAGCGGCGGAAAATTTCCCGTGTTGACATTGAGTTATATTAACACGGCTCTTAGCCAATCAGCGTTCAGAATTTACAAATGCTATATTATAAGTACTTTTATAATATAGCATTTGTAAATTCTGAACGCTGATTGGCTAAGAGCGGTGTTGATGTAACTCAATGTCAACAGGGAGAATTTCTTTCTTTATATTTCGTTGTGCTATATTATAAAAAATTCTCTTTTTCACAATTTCCACTCGTGTTGATATAACTGTACGTCAACACGGAAAATGTTTTACTGATATTTGTTAAATATTTGTTAAATATAAACTCCAACTATCCAGTATAAGTTTATTAGATGTAGCTATATATTTCTGCTGTCTAAACTGCTCTCCAATGAGCTATGCACGCCAGGAGGAAAATGGCCGCTATTAACAGCTTTTTTTAAAACTTTGTTCACTTAATTTTGATATGCAAATATCATGCTTGCATGTAACATCACATTGCGTAATGATTTTTCGTCAAAAAACCGCTTTCGGTTAAAAATGGGAAAAATATAGACTAATATATATATATATATATATATATATATATATATATATATATATATATATATATATATATATATAAAAGTGACAAAGTAGGTCATATCTCGAATACGCATGCGTACTACATGTCGTAGTTTCAAAGCAGCGTAAAGAGCCATGAACGGACTATGACTTTAGTGTGTCCTGCTCTTAGCAACTGTGGACAGCTGTTTCACCCTTTTGGGGCTCATCAGCACAGTGTAGCTAATGGATGAGCTGCATCTTCAAATATTTATAGGACGACAAAGTAGAATGCGTGTGTGGGACACAAAATATATATATATATATATATATATATATATATATATATATATATATATATATATATATATATATATATATATATATATATATATATATATATGGAGGCTTATTTACTACTTATTAGGCTACTTATTACTATAATTTATACATATATCTCGGTATTTTTCAAGAATTGAAGAAAACTATTTATGGCAATTCACCTTTTTTGGTGGTGGGTCAAAACCCCTTGTATGAACTTCCGACAAAACTGCAATTTACACTCAAGTTGGCTATACTTTTTAGCCCTTTGTCTGATCACAATTTCCGACCAATCATCCCACCGAAATTTCCGCCACTTGAAGAAGCATTTAATTTAACAAAATTCTAGAATAAACGTCTTTACACAAATTATGACACCTTGTCCTTACGTAGTTTCTAAAATACTGTGCAAGACTAACACATTTAATCAATATTTGGATTTTGGATGCATGCAGATGTCGTCCTGATTTGCATAAATTTAATCTTCGATTTTCTCAGCTACATTCTATTTTTGCGATATGCATGGTTCGTTTTAAAATGGATTATTCGGATGCATTTGTCAAGATCTATATCTCACGTACATCAGGTATCTGATTTCCTACGACTCGCCGTATAATTCAGATACATGCAGATCGGCTATATCAGTATATCACAGAGTAATAACCATACAGACCATAGGTTATACAGAGACATATAAGCCATGCAGAGGTCTCACTTCGCGAGGAAAATGTAAGGTAGTTTTTATTACGCATATCTGGCGGCCATGACCCATGTTCTTAGCAAGTGCCCTAGAGAGAGTTAGGGCATCACCCCCCTGGAACATTAAATTTCAACATGTTTTCAGGGGGGTTTCGACCTCTGCAAAAATCCCTTACGCTGAAATTAATAAGAGGTGACACCTCTGTATGGTATTTACTCTGCGACTATATTCTTTATTTTTGTTAAAGAACTTTATTGGGTTAACAACTGGGTTATTTACTACAATTATATTAACAAATAATTAGACAAAAATACACTAATTTTAAAATAACAACAAAAGAACCCAAATGGGAAAAGCGAGAACGGGACTCCAAGTTCCATGCGGGGCACTTCCCATAAAAATGAAAAAGTAAGTTTATGTCCTATGGCAGGAGCAACCACGCACGAGGTTCCATGCACACGGTTGATCTACATCAAAAATTAAAATTATGAGTCATGAATTTAATTGAACATTTGAAAGTTGAAAGACTCGATAAACTAGTGGGGGAAGTATTTTACAGGTTGTATTGTGCATAGTTTTGATTTTGGATTAAAGTAGGACGCTAGAAATGTTCTGGTTTTACAAAAAGGAACTTTAAGGTGAAGTCAAGATAACCAGCAATACGAAGTTCGCAGCCCAGCAATCTTTTGAGTAAAGTTTCAAATTTAATCAATTTTTTGTAAATATTTACTTTACTAAAAAAATGAGTAAATTTGCTTATATATAATTTGAGTAACTTTACTCAATTGAATCACTGTGGTTACATCAGGCAGTTTACTCAAGTTTTTTTTTGTCGGCGTTTTTTCATCACTCATGCAGGCCTTGGCTTGAGTTTGTATGGAAAAGACAGGAGAAAATCGCGCAAATCTGACTACAGCGACTATATAATTTGCTAAAAGAAACAGGAAAATTTCTAATATGACCCAATTTCTACTTTGTGACCCAGGAAAATTTGACCATACATCACGCCATTATATATGTATGCAACAACAAAGTATACCCGACTGTATTTATACTACATGTCTAAAATGGCAGATAAGGAAGTAGTATATGATGTAGTGATTCCTTAAGATTCTCACATAAAGGGCTGTTCATATGGAGCTGGGCTGGCCCGGTTAATCGGGATGATTCGTTTACAGTGCGACTAACCCCAAATATAATTTTTGGTATGTGTAATATTTGGGTCATTTTGAGAAGAAATGTAATGTATCTTTATAGTAAAAAACCTCATCTTGGTCAACTTTTTCACTGTCAAAGTTATAGACATGATGTCTTTAGGTGAATTTTTGGTACAAAAAACAAAGGAAAACTAATTTCCAATTCACCTAGTGAGATCATATCCGGAAACTTTGACAGTGAAAAAGTTTATCAAGATGGGATTTTTTATTATAAAGAATACTAGACGTTACTATCGCAAGGAAAGTGCTGCCTCATCCCGCCTTATTAAAAAAACAAAGGAAAACTAATTTGCAATTCACCTAATGACATCATATCCGGAAACTTTGACAATGAAAAAGTTTATTACTGTCGATGCAATGGAAGTGTTGATAAAATATTGCATGAATTCATTTCCTCAAGTTGATCAATTCGTACGAATTCAAATTTCTTTTTACTTCCTGTGCGTTTCCTATTGGTCAATCGGTTCTGAAACGAAATCTAATTGGCTCATCTAAAAGTAACAGGAAGTTGATCAATTTCCTATCAAATGAATTGATCAACTTGAGGAAAGAAATTGGTGCAATATTTTATCAACACTTCCATTGCATCGACAGTAAGATGGGATTTTTTATTATAAAGATATATTACATTTCTTCTTCGAATGACGCAAATATTACACATACCAAAAATCATATTAGTGGTTAGTCGCACTTTAATAAAGCTCTTATCACGGCTTTGATAAACATCCAAAATAACATAGCTTAGTTTGATTCTAACGCTAGAGTCCATTCAAACGATCCTTTATGGTCAGAAAACATTTTCGTGACATGATCCCATGCAACATCTGACACCTGTGGTTCAACCATAAAAACTGAAAAGTCTCGTTACATTCATTTCAACAAACACCAGTCAATATTATATATATCGTATATATTGTATTATATCAATGATCTACAAAATAATTTTCATTTATTTCCCCTACAGATTAAGTGTCGATTAAGTGTCTATTGAAGTGATCAATCTCTATTCATTGGCGATCGCTTTTGGCTCCTCCACGGTGACAAAACGAACCCCAGCCTTGTCCAAACGTTCAATCAATGTCGTTTCAGCGAACGCAGCACCAGGTGTCAAAACTCCACCGCTGGAAAAAGTACACAACACGTAAGATTTTACACTAAACTAACTTTATTCTGGTATACATCGCGCTGTTCTCTCTAGAGGTCCGGTAAAGGCCATCCCTAACTGTTAATGTGTTACTGCTGGATGAAACCGGAGAACGCCAGGCCACGGAGAAAACCTACCAAACTGGAAGAACTCCCTAACATACTGTATGAGTTATATAGGCGAAATTATAATCAGACAACTGCACACAGAGGTCAGGTTTAGGGCAGGGGCGGATCTACCGTGGGGGTGCGCACCCCACCTGCAGTAGTGGTGTCTAGCACCCCCCCCCCCTAGAGAAATCCACCACCACCCTACAAAATCTGCATGACCATACATTTTTTGCTTTTCGAATAGCGATTAGTGGAACTTCTACTGTTAGCGCGCGTCGATTTCTTGAAACGATTTAATTGATTTGTGAGCACGAGAAAATACTCAGAATGCTTTACACTTAAATTATCATGGTTAATATGTAAACATGTCGAGGTTGTTATACAGCCATATTTTCAAATATATTGTATACTTTAACAAGTAAATTTACTGTGTTGCGCTACAGCAACTGTCCAGTCACGCATACATGATAAAAAGCCGATATAAACTTTATGGACAAAAGATGATGCAAACTTGACGTACAGTAACAGAACGGAGAACATGCAGATTCGGCTATCTCAAATAATAATAATGTTGGGATAGTGGCGTTGAGGACCTCATGCATCACCCCATGGAAAACCTGCATCCCTCTTTGCAGATGAGGCTAGATCCTGGGAGATCATGCCCCCAGACCACCTAGATCTGTATCATTCGCCATAACTTATTCACAGTTAGGCAAAGAGCTGAGCCCACACTCGATGTTACTGACCACTGCATTCTGTTACAAAATGGTGCTGGTGACGCAAACAAAATAAAAAAGGACTTGCCTTTCTGGCATGGACTCTCTTTCGTTAAGAATCACAAGAGCAGCTTGAACCATGCAGATTGGAGTGGTTACATAAGCCAGCTCTGTAGTAAATACAATAAGAATTAAATTAGCCGTGTACACATACTGTGTGAATCAAACAATTAATCACATCAAGTATTTTAAACCAACTATTTTAGTCAATTTTAAAATATTCGATCCAGTCTCACCGGGTCCAACAATACGAGTGATAATTTTCTTATCCATCTTTGAATCCGAGCTACAAAAGTTTCAAAAGTTATGTTTCATAAAAACTGCTCAAACGAGAATGAGCTCAAGTTGATGAGAGTTGAGAAGCGAGGGTTTGCATGGGAGTTTTCTCGACTCGCATGCCTCGGGCAAACAAGAACAATAGTTGCATGCACGAGAGTTGATGAGAGTTTGACTGCATGGATATTACCACGCGTCATCAACTCTCATCCAAATTTGAACCATTTCGAAGTTGATGCGATTTGATGAGAGGCGATGAAAGTGTGGGCGGTCGAACGCGCGCAAGAACTCTCATAACTGTAACAACTCTCATCCTCTTTTGACTGAGGCTTCATATGTTCAGCAACAATCAGCAGGATTTTCATTTTAGGCCGGAAAGTGGCGAAATTCGCCATACCTTTCAGTCAAGCCATGCCAAAATTCGCCAGAGCTTTACATTTTGCCGTGTTTTTCAATTGTCAAACGAGGACTATGAAAGTTGTGGTGAACATACAATTGAAAATGTTTCTTGTTTTATTTACTACGAAAATGCTACATATTTTATTAATAAACTTGTGCATGCGATCTGCGAACATGCTGTCCTTGAATAATATACCACACAATGAAGGCAAATGAACATATCAATGATAATGACTTTGCTGAAAAAAACGGCAGTCTAGAGCATCGAAATTTCAAGTTTCCTGGGCGATCATGCCCACAGACCCCTATAGGTTTGTGTAGTTCGCCACAGTTAGCCAGAGTTTCACAGAAAATTTAAAACCTTGACAATGTAGTACATACTTGATTTCACCCTCGTAATCTTTACTAAATCCTTTCGCATAAAATGTCATTGTAAAACCAGTACTGTCCATCTAAATATAAAGATAAATTGTATGTTATGAGTGTCTTCGTGGCATGTGAAATAGGTTATGCATTCAGGTATTTTTATAGTTAAGTGTCATAATGGTGTACCTGTTCTTTCGTTGGTCCTTCGTGTGAAAATAATCCAAAGGAGAAGATCTTGGGATACTAATGATAAAAAATCAAATAGTTTTTCACAAGCCCATTATACATCCCTGACCTGCATGGGCAAATACATTCCGAGTATACAGTATAAAATTGAGGGAATCCTCAAACCAGGGATGGATCCAGCATGATCTGGTAGGGGGGGGGGGGTGTTCTGCTGGCTGTGGTGCCGAGTTGTGTCGGTCGTGTGTGCCGCCCGCCCATCAACTTGCTTCACTACTGCAAAGTCTTGCTTGACTACTGTATTTGAATTGTAATTGTTGTTCACAGTTCGCTTATCATCATGTTATTACTCAAATTACTGTATCTCATTTTGTCTCTAATAATTTTTTGCTTTATCATAAAAAATAGCACCCCCCCGGTCAGGACTGGGGGGGGGTGCACTCCCCCCCCCCGCACCCCCCAGTAAATCCATCCCTGCCTCAAACAGGAAAAAATCCCTTAATACGAGGTTACCTTAGTCCTTAGGTTACTAAAAAGCAAGTGAAGTAAGTGGGTGGGGGCGGGGGTGCTAATCATGCTTACTTGCAGCTCAAAGGTGAAAGGTGCTGTCGATTACACCACCGAAGCCCATGCAAACATTTAAAGGAGCGAAAACGAAAAAGTTGTTACAAGTCTGCATACAAGTTGTTACAAATTTGTTTACAAGCTGTCGACAAGTTGTGTTCGCTTTGCTTGTTGCCAGTTGTAACAAGTTTGGAACACGCTTGATGGCATTATCAGACTTGTTACAAAGTTGTTCTAACAAGTTTGATACAGTCATGAAATAACAAGAATGTTGCAAGGTTGACGACACAAGGTTGTAACAATATTGTTATATCATGACTGTATCGGACTTGTTGGAACAACCTTGCAACAAATCTGATAATGCCATCAAGCTTGTTACAAGTTGTTCACAGCTTGTTCCAAACTTGTTGACAACTTGGGAGAAGCAGTGCGAACACAACTTATCGACGGCTTGTTGGCAGACTTGCTACAAGATGTGAGAATTTTTCCGTGTGTGTGTATACTTTGTCAATTCCGTGCATACCTTTTCCAAAAGTTTTCGTCCATATTGGAAGGACGCGAGCAACATGAAGAGAAGACCAAACACGAGGAACATGGCGACATATATAATGGATGGCATAGTGAAGTAGGCTGCGTATTGTATAGGAGGTTTTTGTAGCTCATCATTTCTGTAGCGTTGTGTTCGACGTACTACAGAGGGATCTGCGCCAAGGAAAGGCAATGACCACTTGTCTACCTCTTTTCCAAAAAATATCGAACCTCTGAAACGGGGTAGGAAATGATTCTATAGTATATAGTCTTAAAGTATTATGTACGTAATAATACACACGTATTACAATACGTTCGTATTAGTTTTGAAACTAAAACCCCGTACAGACGATCGTTTCTTGAAGTTTAGGGATTTGGAGAAAAAACCCCACCTAATTTTATTTATGCTGGATAGATATACCAGTTCTTCTAAACTGCATTATCCCTCTACAAGGCGCGGGGTCTACACGAAGGCCCGATCACGCTATCACTGGATAGTGATTTCTAAAACTTTCTAAAATTGTCCATTGATTTGTACAACTCAGATTAAATTTTCGTATTCATAAATTAGGTATAATATAAGTTTCTTTTTATTAATTGTGAGATCCATATCTGTAGTTTCACAACATTCTTTGCATTTTTGCAAAAGTTGAAAAAATCACAGTCTGCAGTGGATAGCGCTATTTGGCCTTCATATAACCGGCCTCTGCATCGCAAATATATTATGAGGGATCTTATACCACCACCACAGCGGCTGTCAAAAGCGCCAAAATTCATGAATATTTAGTTAGCTTTACTGTTTGATGGTGATTTTGGGGGGAAGTTTGAAAGGACCAGGATTGCGCCCCATATAGAAGCCACGCATATATATATAACTATCAACACCTCATTTTCAATTTGGGTCCAACTTTTGGCATGGGATTTGGAAACAACTGTTTTCTTAATGTTTTAAGATTTCCTTCTTTCTCGCTCGCAACGCCGTATATGAGAGATTGATATGTTCCATAATGACCACGCATTCCCTATAATGAAAACACTAGTGAGATGATGTCAGAAGTAGTCATAGTACTCTCTATAGTGGTCGCTACCAGTGTAACCAGGGCTAAGTCAGAGTGGGAAGTTTTGGTTATAGTGTTGTCTCTATAGTAACTGTTTATACGAGACTAACTAGACTAGGACGAAGTCAGAGAGGAATGATTTCTTTTCATGAGATCGGGACGAGCTCAGAACAGCATAATTTCGTTTTGGTCATAGTCTTTTAATGTTTTATCTACTTGTTGTTTACATTTGACCAGGACAAAGTCGGGAAAGGAAGATTTCTTTTTTTGGTTATAGTGTTGTCTCTATAGTCATCGCTCACATGAGATCGGAACGATGTCAGAGCAGGCTGATTTCGTTTTGGACTTTTCTCTATTGTACTTGTTTTTACATGAAATCTGGACGAAGTCAGAGAAGGAAGATTTCGTTTTGGTTATAATGTTGTCTCTTGTCATCATCGTTCACATGAGATCGGATCGAGCTCAGAGCGGGATGATTTCGTTTCAGTCATAGTCTTGTCTCTAGTTGCTGTTTACATAAGACTAGGACGAAGTCAGAGAAGGATGATTTCGTTTCAGTGAGAGTGTTGGCTCTATAGTCAATGTTTACATGAGACCAGGACGAAGTTATGTTGACTCATGTAGAGCAGAAAGATTTTGTTTTGGTCATAGCATTGCCTCCAGTTATGAGACGGGACCAAACTTACCACCTTTCCCTTGCTAGCCGCCACCTTTAATCTTTATGAATAATGTATGGTGTATAGAGAAATACCTTGTCCCCTGAATGAACAGTCAGAAAACTTTCAACGTGGCACAGTTGTCCTGTAAGGTTAGAAATTATTTCGGATTGATGATCAAATCATTTTCCTACCGACACAATTTTACATTAAGAATTTTCCCATTTATTATCGTTTAAAAACTTTGACTTCTGTACCTGGGAATTTCTTCTGTGTGTAAACAATGCCCATGTCTGCTGGGATGCTGTCAAAGCCACATGTCCCCACCACAAATATCTTGGATTCCTTCGCTTTTTCGTTGTACTTAAATTGCATCGTCTCTAGATACTGATAATAGAACTTTACATAAGTACGTTTTAATATATAGATTAGTTCAGGACAACTAAATATACTTACAAGCAAGGTTGGGTTGTAGCGAAGTAGTTTTAGTTCGCTACTGTAGCGAACTACAATTTTCAAGTAGCCAGTAGGTTTTGATTATTTTTTTAAAACAGTAGTTGTAGTTATAGCGAACTACATTTTGCCTGAAAGTAGCCAAGTAGTTGACTACTTTTCAAACAGCGAACCGCTATTCGCTACTTTTTAAAATTGTTAGCAACTTGATAGAATAGCATGATATTGAGACACGGTTTGCTTAAAATCAATACTCAATAGTCAATTTGCACTCCTGAACACTGTACTGCTTACAAAATGTTGCTTTGTGTTTACTGTTGCTACTCGTAAGTCGATTTGTTATAGATTACATTACAGCCTGAGTTAGTAGATGCTCCAAATATAGTAAAACTAAAAATATATAGTGTATAGCGAAATAGCGAAATGTAGTCAGTAGCGAACTACTTTTGTTCAAAAGTAGCAGTAGTTGTAGCTGACTACATATTTTTGAAGTAGCTGTAGTTATAGCGAACTACAAAAATTTTGTAGTCAACCCACCCTTGCTTACAAGGGGCTTCGGTGGCGCATTCGCCTCACATCAGACTAATGACACTTATGTGAAAAGAGTTGGTCAACGGCTCAACGCTCTACCGCAAGTCGTGGGTTTTCTCCGGGGTCATTAAAGTGGGGACCACATTTCAGAAACAACTTTCTTGCAGGCACATTTTTTAAAACTTTTGAAACCAGAAGTTATAAAATAAAAATTTCTTATTTTATTATGTATTTTACTATCTGTTACTATTAGTCATTAAAATATTTGTTAATAGGGATACTGAAAAGTTAAAATTTCTAGAAAACAACTGCCAGTGCACGTGCATGATTGTGAGTCTGAGCTTAAAATTCTCGATTTCTTATATGGCCAAACATATATAAAGCCATAACTCATAAGTCAGCCTGCCGTCAGGGGGTTTCCTGTTACCGCTAGCCTGCACCCCTCTCCATCATTCCCCCCTCCACCATTCTCCCCCCTCCAAAAGAAACCCTCTGACCCAGGGTTGGCTGATGGCTCATCACGTCGTGATTTCGCATGTTGCACGAGACATTTTGCAGGCACATTTTCAAAATAATTTTTGCGGTCGCAGGCACGCAAAAAGGTTAACGACCCCAGAAAAGTTTGCTTGACCGCGGTGGGAATTGAACCCGCGACCTTTGGTTTACTAATCCAATGCTCTACCAACTGAGCTACGAGGTGAAGCAAACTTTGCAGGTGTAGACACACTCAGAGACAACATCACAAACATATATCTTCACTTGAGTACACAACACCAGAAACAAAAAATTCAAGATCGTAAAAACACACTGATATCAAAGGAACTAGATCGAGTTCCGAAATATCACGCACTCGAACCGACTTGACCTCGTAGCTCAGTTGGTAGAGCATTGGACTAGTATCCTGAAGGTTCCGGGTTCGATTCCCACCACAGTCAAGCAAATTTTTCAGCCTGCCCGGTGTGGACACACTCGGACAATATCACAAACATATATCCTCACCTGAGTGCATAACACCAGAGACAAAAAAATTACAACGTTTGAAAAAATCACTACCCGGGGCCAGTTGTTCAAAGCTAGATTAGCTTAAAACCTTGGTTAACCTAAAATTCAAAGCAAACATGCTGACAGCTTGTCTATAAATTTGGAAATATTTCTTCAGAGATCTTGTCTAGATTGATAGTAGTTTACTTCTCTGAAGTTTTGAAATAAACAGACGTGCAGAAATACACAAACCAGAACAGGAGGTTAAGTTTTAACCCAGGGTTAGCGCTAACCCACCTTTGAACAACCAGGCAGCCCCCGGTGGATAGCACTATCAGGCTTTCTTACAACTGGTCCCAGTCCCAGACCTTTCTCTAATAACACTTTTGCAGAGAGGGGGTGTTTATTAGAGAAAGAACGTTTTAGTAAAGATGGGTGCAGAACGTCTATTACATAACAGGCATTTAGGGACCGGTCATTATTTATGGAGGGGGGTGGCACTGAAGAGAAAAGGGTTGGGTAATGAAAAAAAGAAAACAACTCAAGGCTTGGGTAACAAAAAACTATTTTGATTTCCAAAACAAGACTCACTCAAATATTGAAGACTAAAATCCAGTGTCAACGTCATGTATGCATGTCAATATGTGCGATATGTTAATAAATAAGAGTCACTAACTTGGTCATTTCCCGATTTGTCAGGAGGCAAATGGTGTCTCCAAACAAAGTACATGTGCAAAGAACAGGAAATTTTACACTGCATAAAATTGCACATGCATGTTATCAAACGCATGTCAGAGAAGTGGTAGGGGACATGTGTGACAACTGGGCCTTGATTGGGTATTTGTGACTATTTATTTATTGTTATTTGAGGTTGGGTAAAGAAAAATTCTGACTTTTTAATAGATCAGCAAAATTTTTACCAAGAAAAACATTTCTCTTCAGTGCCACCCCACACTATAAATAACGACCGGTCATTTATTAGAGAGAAGGCATTTCTCAGATCATTTACAGTAGTTAGTTTAGTTGAGTTAAAATTAATGCACCTCAGGCTCTCCACTGACATCAAGGTGATGACAACCATTCTCAACACAAGCTTTTACTACAGGTTCTCCAAAGAAACGATACTAGATATAACAAAAAATGCACACTTCTATGACTTCTGAAACATTCTTTAATTAATTCTTCTATTGAAATTAGTGCAATACTCATTTTTGGTTATTCTAACATTCACAAGATTCTATTTCTCCCACTCTTAACATGATATTTTTGCACATTTTTCAATCTGTGCAGATTTGAAAGGGACAAAACTAAACATTTTCACTTTCACTTGCTTGTCAATTATAGGAAGATATTCGTGCCAGTGGTGTAATGTTATATCGAGGCCCCAGGTTCAAAATTTGTGAAGGCCCCTCCCCTTTAGTAAGAGGCAAGACCCCAGAAAAAAATTTAAGTCTGGAGTCTTTGAAATGCTATTTCCTAGACCTTTTGAGAATTCATGATCCGAAACTGACATTATAATATATCAAAATCTACAGCCTGAGCCTGGGTGCCCATTTGGGCCATTGAGGTTGGGAGCTCGATCCCGGTCCGAACCCAGAGTCAATACGATGAGCTTTTTTCCTATCAAGGGGAAAGTCTTGCACATTAATGGTTAACTGTTTTTTTCCTCATTTTTCAGACAAACCACATAGAGCTTTATGTGACTATTATATTTCCCACTGGAATACTGCAGGCAGGTAAAGCTGTTTGATACATACTGGTCCTACACAATTTAAGACGATTCTAGCCTGGGAACACATCGTGTTTAATGATTCTTCATTTTTTACATCAGCTATAATGACATCTATGCCAGAATAATCTTTACCTGTAAAATTATAATAGTATTAAATAAAATGATCAATGGTTAGGTATCTTTGGTTTACAATTCCAAGTTTCCTGCGCGAAGATTTTGAACAAATCTTGTACTCAACAGCAGGTTGACTACAACTTGCCAAAGTCACCAGAAAATTGGCTATACTTTTAGTGGAAAAAATCTCTTACTCGTTGTTGTACTTGTAGTTAAAAACTAAACCTCCCCATTACCGAAACCGTGGATCCTTCCTCTTGCTTGAAAAACTGTGCAATGTTTTTGCGTCAAAACATTCAGGAACTAACATTGTGAAGTCAACATTGTGGGAATGATGACGTCTGACTGGTCTGCAAGAAATTATATTGACATACCTAAAAATAATCTTGAACTGTCTTTGCCAGTGTAGGTGCCCAGCCTTGTACCCAGGCGCTATGTGTTGTTCTATGGCTTGCGTGGACTGGCCTTTCCAATCCAGAAAACATTGAACGCACATCTTCATCAAGGACTTCATTTAAATTCTCATTTGCATTTGTCAGATCTAGCAGATCCGCCAGCTTGAATACAAATTCTGCCAGGCACTTCCCCGCAAATTCAGTCCATTTTCTCCCACGCGTGTCGTCCCGCATGTGTGTCGCGCAACGGTGTAGCACAACAAAGTGCCTGGGTATGAGGCTGGGTAGTGCCAATAAATTAATGAACAAGCTTTCAGCTTTCATTGGTAGGGATGCAACTACCTGAAAATATATAAAGAGAATTTCAACGTTTCGAGTGAAGGCCCTTCGTCTGGAGTTACGATAACTCCAGATGAAAGGCCTTCGCTCGAAATGTCAAAATTTGCCTTATATATTTTCAGGTAGTTGCATCCCTACAAATGAAAGCTTGTTCATACCTAAAAATAGTTCCACATTTTAACAATAATAGGCGTAGAAATGTAGTCGCATACCCGAATGTTTTGACGCGAAATCACGACATGTTTTTTCGGGTGAGAAGAAACATCCATAGTTTTGGTAATATTACGCCCATACTGACAACAAATTTCATGTGTTCTATTTTATATCATTATCACGTGACCTCTTGGACTTTAGTCACATTGTCACAATAATGAAAGTGGCAATTTAATATATAAACGAAAGAATTCAACGCCTATTCTTCTATTGTACATATTCAACCATTCTAAGTTGATTGCACAGTAGCATCTAAAATCAACCAACCCGATTGCTCTGATGCCTGTTGCAAAACATTTTGCAGTTTCTCTTTATTTCTTCCTGCCACGGCCCAGCGAAGGTTTTGCGAATTATGTTTGGCGAATTCTTGTACGACAAACTGCCCAGTAAAACCACTCGCTCCAAAAATTACAACATCGAACGATCGAGACATGTTGAAAATGCCTTAATCTAAGCTAGATTGCTGCAAAATTGTGAAATATTGGAGAACAGGAGAAAATGACTTGCAATATTTGTTGTTTTAAAATTTTGTTAGGTATTTTGGTATAATATGAAGTACTTCTGTGTTAATAAAGAATACGGATCGCAGGCTCGTATGGTGGAATGAAAATTTTCTTTTTTGGAAAGGTGAAAATTTATTTTAATAACTTTTTTTTAAACTTTTTAAAGTAGTACTGTAAAAGTGTCTACGAAATAATTGCGTAAAACTACAACCTAATGAAGAACGCCGAATCTGTAAATAAAATTATGACACTTTTATTCACTTTTACATAATTGTTTATGATATATATTTTGGGGAAATTCTGAATATTCCTGTAAAGTGGAAGCACTGCACATGGAGCAGAAAACAAGATGGCGAGTTTAAAGCACATTGGAACGATTGAATCTGACCAAGAAATAGAAGATTATGAAAGTGACGGAAGTGGTAAAGAAGATGAAAAAGTACAGTATTGTTTCCTTATACGTTTTTCATATTTTGTGTGCAAATTTCTTATAAAGTGTTAAAGATATTTCAGCATATATTCATGTGGCATTGAGACGAGACTGTGTCTGTACCAGACTGGAAAGTTTGTACTGCGCGCCCGAGATCTCGGTCGCGCAATTTTTTTCAAAATGCGCGCCCAGACGCGCAAATTTCAAAAATTAGCTGTCAGACGCGCAATTTCAAAAATGAGGCGCGCGCGAAGTTGAGATTGCGCAATTTTTCAAGCGCGCGCTTGCATGAATTTAAAATATATTGCAATTTTTCAAGCGCGCGCGAGAAATATCGCGATACACCGACGGGAACCGCAATTTTTTGCGCGCCGGCGGCGCCGCGAATTGAAAAGAATTTTGACTATGTTTAGCAGTCTATGATTAGACCCATCTGGAATTGGCATACTGAAAGTTTATTTCCGACGAGGCACGATTAACCAATAAACGTCAGCCATTCCGAAATTTGATCTAATTGTATTTCGGCGGTCTTTTGGTTTTGGAATTTGGCTTTTCAAGGCGAACATCATATATACGACCATTGACGCGAAGACTGTGCTGTTGTTCCACTGCGATCATTCATCAAGAGACTTTTGAATCATTCTGCCAGGTAAATGTAGTGTTGTAACTTGTAAATTATTTCATGTTTTTGTATCGCACTTTTGTATTGTGTATTATTAAAAACTGACTGAATTGTCTCAATACAAATATACCGGCTATAACACATATATAATACATTGACGCGTGTTGTTCAGGATGGAACGATTCGAATTTCGAAATATTGATTGAAATGCGCTACAACTGAATAACAGAATAAGTAATTATTTATAAAGCAATGATTTATAAATATAATCATGACAGCAGTCAGCGTCTCAGACTCTCAGTGTGGTGTGCCATATTGCCAAGTGCCAACTTCGGTAAATAACTGAATTTGTGAGGGGCCTGAGGGCCAAACAGAGTGAATCATTTACCGAGTCAAATCCGAGTCAATTCCGAGCCCGAGTCAAACGTCCGAGTCACGTAAAAAGACGAAACTGAATAAAATTCACAGTCGAATAGGGTTAACCCAAGACTCTATGAAATATGATATAGTATTATAGCCCTAATATTCAATCACAGCCAATTTCCATGTTTCATTAAGATTCATAATCATCAAAACCATTCATCGGTCTATTATTTCTTTCCATTAATATTTATACAAATGGGATGGTTTGGTCAGAAAAATTCTGCCTTACTATTCGAACCATATATATTTGATAACATCTGCCTCATTCTAAACAGACAAACGGACTTTCTTACCCTGCAACTTAACCGCTTTAGGTAGTCAGAGTCTGTACGGCAAACCATAACCAAGCCTACGTTTAGCACCACATATGGCAAAACATAGGTTCTATAGGGTATATAACATACCTTTATTATACCTATTACACAATACTTTACAGTATTGGTCTGCCTCGCAGACACTCCTAATTGGGATGATACCCACGTATAGAGGTCTTATACTTGCATTTCTGGGACTGGGGTTGAGTTAGATATCTTAGATAGGACATAGCGGTTTGCGTGACGGATTGAGTTCGTCATCATATGCGTACTGCACTTCACGGGATGGTCTCCTCGCAAGGCCATGTGAATAATGTACATTATCAAATTATTCCTATCATTAAGGAATAATTTTAGATGACATGGACAGGACTGACAAAGAAAATACACAAAACACTGCACACACTATAACCAGGCTGTCCATGCATGCACCTGCTATACAATATTTCACAGTAAGATCAAGTATACTTTCCAGACCCTGTGAAGATCTTAGAAACCAATAACTAAATAAGGCTTACAAGAAAGTTGCACAACGCAAAATCCCAATCTTTAATATATAATAACTGAAATACCTTCCTAGCCACCACCTGTTTGCTGTTTATACACATTTAATAACTGAAATATCTTCCTTGCTACCACCTGGTTGCTGTTGAAAGACATTTAATAACCAAATGACTGTCTTTACCATCACCTGGTTGCTGACCCAACAAATCATGTTGCAGCTTTTATATAGTCGTTTGAGGGTACTTGACAAATCAGTTAATAATTTAACTGTCTTTATTCAATACTCATTCAAGAACACACGTTTGAGTTTACAATAGTTAAACAAACATCGATTAGGTGCCTGCCTTCCATATATATATATATATATATATATATATATATATATATATATATATATATATATATATATATATATATATATATATATATATATATATATATATATATATATATATATATATATATATATATATATATATATATATATATAATATATATATATATATATATATATATAGACAAGTAAAAATGCGTGTGTTGTCGACGATCTCTTTGGCGAACCATATTGCCGCTTATCAATCTTATCAATAATCGATTTCATCAGCCAATTAGCCAAATGAATCGTTCGGTACAATCAGGACCAAAAATTATCGAGACAACCGCATAAATGCCCCTCTCACCCGCAATTCAATGTTGTGTGAATGACTGAAAAGAGAAAATTCAACCAACTTTTTCCAACATTGATCATGGGGGCAGGGGCGAGGCCGACGTACTTTGAAATGGCCAAAAACGTCAAAAGTTTCATTATTTTTGCACGCGATTGTTTGAGATGGAGCTGTCTGGGGGTTAGTTATCGGCCAACATTTGAAATTTTGCCAAACTCTAGCGATCAAGTTGACATGAAATTGACATATTTCAATCAATTAACCGAAAGTTTTTTGTCACAAGTGTAACTCAAAACCAGTGAACTCTATATATATATATATATCTGGAACGATAACATTCAGTCATTTGATTGTGAAAACAATGAAGCCTCGATACCAGTCTTTCACGCGGATTGGACGTCAGTCTCAGTCCCTCAAACGTCAGGGTTACGCGGATTGGACGTCAGTTTCATTCCCCCTCTTACAAACCGTTGCACGGCCAGTATAAATTTGAACGCAATCACGAAAAAAAAATTAAAAACATGGCCAACTCAATGCAATACATTTTAGGAGCAAACTGTTTTGCTCCTAAAATTTACTGCATTGAGTTCGCTGTCGGAAAAAAGTCGAGGAAAACTTACCCGTGTGGAGAAAAGAATCACTTTTTCAAATATATTGTGTCGTACTGTCGTTCTGGATGCACAAGGAAAGAGATATTCTTGCGAGAAAATTTCATTTCACAGGTAGGTAAATTGACTTGCAACTTTGACTTTGCCGTTGCCATTTTTCGCGATTGTTTGAATTGTTTTTTAGTTTACCAGTTTTATAGTTTTTAGTCAATACACTGGTACGTTATTTTTTAAAGAATTTATTGTGTGATGGGAATTTGCCTGCCAGCAAAATGTAAATGAATATGTACGTGTGTTTGAATATAAATTAGACCATATGGGCTCAGTAAAAAATTATTTTAATAACTACGTTTCGGAGTATAACTCCATCTTCAGGTTAAAAGTGAATAAAGATATAAAAACTGTGATAAAAACTTTCAAAACAATTACAAATTTGATATGTAAGTGATTTTTAATACTGTAAGAAAGTTCTTGAACAGTTGATGACGAAGACAATGACGAATACTTATGTCGTGATTTTTTTGTCGGCTTCACTTTTCGCTCGCTGTTATCATTCCAGAGATACATATATAGAGTTCACTGCATCTGAGTTGTCTTCTCCAAACATTACAGATTTTCCCGCCAAAACCCGGCCCCAAAGTCCCGTATGTCACTAGGTTAGTATGTCACAAGTGTCATGGACGGGGGGGACTACCATATTTGGTGGTAAAATTTTTCAAAAATACGCACTAAATCCAATTTTAATCTCTTTACCTTCGCTATTTTTGCTTTCCACATATTGTTTCACCCAACCACGACTGTAACACAACAATGTTTGCTCGCTAAACATTTTAAAATCAACAAAAATACAGTATTATTAAATACGAAGTATTAAATTATTTCATAATTTATGCATGCTCTTCGGCAACCTCGTTCCCAGGTCTTCGGGCGAAAATCTGAAGTTGTCTGAGCCACTGAACTGTATACAGCACTGAATAGAAAGTAATTCTTTATGTTCAAACCTTACTTCATGGATAATAAAATATATGTTATTTTACAATCCATGATGTAAGTTTATAATGTAACCTAGCTTGTTTTGGCTTGAACAACATGGCCGCTGTTTTCAAAAAAATCATGCCAACAATATTAGCTTCTCAGCACGTACATAGCATACGCTTTCTAAAATGCTTAAAAAAATGGAGCTAAAACCACCTGCATTGCATCGAGGGAATTAAATCTACATCGCTGTCTTCTTCGTCCATTTTGATGAAAGTGACTAAAGTGCCTATGCAACGAATTTTTCACCTCATTTTTTATTGTTTTTCTGAAAAGTACTGCTGGAGTGATGAAGAATGATGCTTACAGTTTCGTCATATCTCATCTCATTCTCAAGTTATCGCACTTTCTATATTTTGAGTTGTGACGTCACAAGTATGAGTTGAGATAATGGCAATAACAAGAAAGTATGATATCTTGGTGAGTATTTAA